AGGGCATGCATTCATTAAAAGGGAAGGCTTGCATAAAAGCGAGGGCATACATTCATTCAAACGAGAAAGACATACAAGAAATCAAAGAAGATGGAAAGGACGACCATTGGTATAAAATCCCGAAGGAGAACATTCATCATGAAGAGTGTTTTGTTACAATCATGGCCGGAGCCTATAAACTACACAAAATTTACACTTAAACAATTTGCTGAGTTGGGGCCTCCTCAGTTGCGTCCCCCTTCGTCTTTGAGGAAGCATCGTCCTCGACTTCGTCTTCATCATCAAGGCCGCACTCCCTCATCAACTCTGAGTCTTCCAACTGGCGTCTCTCCTCACCAGGAGGGAGGGGGGTCCTGACATCTGGCTGCCGAGGAGGGAGACCATATGCCGAGGGGTCAAACTGGGAGGGCTCAACGCCGAAGTGATTGGCTAGCTTCCGGTAGATCAGGCGCTGGGTGAAGAATTCACCCCCATCAAAGTAATTCTTACCCTTCAGGGCCATCCATTCGGCTCCGAGGCCTTTCACCCAATCTTCAACGCCCTGCTCGATCACCGAGGCCACCCACTTTTCTCTCCCTTCGGCCTTCCACCCCTCGGCGAGAAAAGCTGCCACCGCGTCCTCCTCGGCCTTGGAAACCGCCTCGGCCTTAACCTTCTTAGCTTCCTCGGCTGCCTGCTTGGCGGCCTCTGCGGCTGCCCTCTCTGCCTCCGCCTTGCCCTCAGCTCGGGCCCTCTCCTCTGCCTCCCTCAGCTCCTCTTTGGCCTTCTTCAAGGCCACCTCCAGCTCAGCGCCATACTTGATGGCCTCGGCATGCTCCCTGACGAGTTTCTCTAGGGTTGCTTCGTCCTGCGCCTTCCTCGCGCGCATTTGCCCTACCCTCTGGATATACTCACCGAGGGCCACGCTAGCCTGAAAATTATGAGAAAGCATTCGGGATCAGGATTATGCGAAGGGAGAGACGCGAAAGATAAAGGTACGAAAGGTTCAAGGACTTACAGAGACTGAGGCCTGGAGGGCCTTGAGCTCCAAAGCTTCATCATCAAACCGGCCGAGGGTGGACCGGTCTAGCGGAGTGGTGGCACCCCTCAGAAACTCCCTCGGATCGAGGGTGCCGTGCATGATAGCAGTCCCCTTCTTAAAGGAGAACTGCACTGTTTCCCGGGGCCAGGTGCCCTCGTCAAAGTCCTCGAGGGGGGTGGACTCAGAAGGATGGAAAGTGGGGGGTTCATCGATGATCACTAAGGGGGCATCCTTGCCCCCCTCACCCCTCTTCTTCTTCTTATTCTCCGGGGGCATGACGCCCTTCCCGGCATTTTTTCTTTTGAGCTCCCCAGCTTGGGAGCCCCCGGCGACGGCACTGGCGTCTGCAGCAACAATCTCCTGGGACACCCCCTCCCCCTCAGGAGTCTTGGGAGCCCCGGCTTTCTTCAAAACTTCATCGACAAGAGGCTGGCTCGCCGAGGACCCCTCCTCCTTCTTCTTCCTTGGCACCTTGGCCAGCTTTTTAGAAAGACGGGCGAAGGCCTGAACGTCCATAATATCACCTGTGACAATTCAGAAGGGGTTAGATTCAAAACAAGTAAAGTACGGGAAATAATTCTAAGTACAAGACAGAAGAGCCCCCGGTTACAACCTCCGGCGTTCTGATATCCGCGGGCAATCACGGGGTACTTCTCATCCTTATCTCCCGGTAGACGATAACGCCGGAAGTCCAACAGATATAGCTCCTCAGGCGCTGCCGCCGCCTTGATAGCAATCACCTTATCAGAACCCTCCGGTTTCTCGATAAGCTTCTTCCCGGCCTTGTCGAGGGCCGCATTGCCTACTTTCGGGTGCCTCTTGAAGTGATTGTTAAGAGCCCCCGGGAATGGGTTGTCGGCGAGCCGAATGTAACAGAACTTCTCCTTCCATTCCTTGTGTGACGAAGGGGTCTCTGAAAAAAGCTTCCAGGCCGGAACCTGCTGAAGGTTGGCATACCCTCCGGCATGAGTATGTCCTCCCCGACATAGGTTGAAAGAGAGGAAGAACTGGTCCAGTGAAGCGGTCACCCCCCGGCTTCGGCAGAGAGCCAGGAATCCCGCCAAGTAATAATGGCTATTGGGTGTGAGCTGACAGGGGGCCAATTTAACAAACTTCAAGTATGATACTACAAACGGATGGAGCGGGAATCTGAGCCCTAGCTCCACCGAGAGCATGTGTACCGAGAAGCACCCCTCGGGGGGATGGGATAGCAAGTCATTAGGCCCCGGTTCCACCACTTGCGCCGACGGCCCCACTAGGACTTGGAGGGCTAAGCACTCGGCTCCCGACGCCGTGGTCCTCACCTCAAGGGCAGTGGTATCCAGGTATGAGTGTCCCTCGGGGATCCCGACTGGTTGCCCGGCATCCACGGCCGCTTGCTTCTTCTTCGGGGCGGCCCTCAGTTTTTTCTTCTTCTTGGCGGGGGCAACACTCAGAGGCTCCGGGTCTAGGGGACGGGAACTACTTGCCTCACCAGCTCCGCGTGGGGGGGGGGGCACAGCTACAGTAACCCTTCGCCTCTCCCTCTCTTCAGCCTCCTGAGCGACGTGGACGGCGAGGGCTATCTCTTCATCTTCAATCACCTGCTCGAAGTCCTCGGCCTCCATCTCCGTTCGGAGGTTACTCTGAATCTCCTCGGCTACGGCGAAGTCGTTGGCCAGCGATGCCCGATCACTGGAAGAGGCCACGTCAGATATGCTCTCTGATTGCGCCGAAGGTTCCCTCGAGATGTCTTGAGAATCACTCGCGGAGGACATAGTTGTAAACAAGGGAAAGTGGCCTAACCGAGGGCTCTTAAAGTTTCCCTAGAATGCTAACGCTAAAACTAGGAGAGAAGGGAGCAGAAGAGGAACTGACCTCAGAAAGCTTGGGTTGATCGAGGGGAACTTTCTCTCTCTAGAATCAAATTGCCAGAGCTTCGCTATCTCTCAAAATCGCGCAAGCACAAATGAGCTCAGGCTCAGGGTATTTATAGGCAACTGGGCCTCGATATATGGGCCTCGATTTGAAAGCCCATCATTACGGGCCGCCGGTTCAACCAATGGATAGCACCCGCCCCCCACCGACCAACGGAGGCATGCCACGTCAACTCTTCTTCCAACGGCTATATTACAACGACTATATTTCGGCTACACTAGGGGTGCCCCCGAGTGATAGCCTCCGGCTATCGCTCACCACACCCTTCTGCCAGCAAATTTCACCAAACGCCTTCGAGCTTGCGACAGCATAAGCCCCCGACTTGTCAGAATTATCACCCCTCGAGTTCTCATCGACTTATTATAACTCCTTCAGCCCGAACTTGCCTTCGGCCTAAAGGAGTGGGGGACTGGGACACACCCCTCGGGAATCACACCCTTCGGCGGAGACAGAATATCAAAAGTTTCCACAAGTCACTTGCGGAAATGAGGCAGCCCTCGTCACAACACATGCAGGCAATACATCTATGCTTTCCCCGGAAAACCCTCGACATGTGAGGGACTGGGAAAAGCCTTCTGCAGTCATACAGGTGTTACACTGCCCTCAGAAAGCCCTCGACATGTGAGGGACTGAGGGGAGCCCCCGGCGAACATGCGAAGGTTACGAATACCTTCCCTCAGAAAACCCTCGACATGTGAGGGCCTGAGGGAAGCCTTCGGCAATCAGCAGAAGACGAATTCTCCAACAAAGGCACCCAACGAAATGATGCAGCCTCCGGGAGAATCAACACAACTACTCCTTTTCCCTCAAGTGCCTTTCGGCAAAAGGAGTGAGGGACTCCTGATGGAGTATATGGCCCAAGAACCCCCGGCCCATAGACTCCTACTTCTGCTACACATATCCAATGAGCCTAGAGAACAACTCAGGCCCAAAAGCAACGGCCCAAGCCCCAAAATAGCCCGAAATACATACTGGGGTGCCTTCGGCCTCCTTGGCCGAAGGCTCCAGAAACTCACGAAGTAGCCCTCTCTGACATACGATGCCACTGGGAGAAAACGGCGAAAAACATGAGCCTTCGGCATTACCAAGCCCTCGGCATCAGGGGAGCCTTCGGCTGAACTTAGCCCTCTGCCACTCGGGGCCTTCGGCTACACAGGGGTCCTTGGTTACACGGAGCCCTCGGCTACACAAGAAGCCTTCGGCCAGACATGCTCAATCATCGAAGATTCCTTTTGGGGACAGCCAACCACCGCATTTAATACCACGTCACATCCGCCAACCGCATTCAATGCGGTGAACGTACCACTGCCGGTGCCACCAGGCTGATGTAACCCTTCGGCCGTTGGATTACTGACACGTGTACTCTCATCGCATTTATTGCTGCTATAAATAGCAGCCCATTTCTCCTTGTAATGGACATGATCTACATCTCAACTCCACACGCAGAGTTCATTTAATAAAATCGACTCTCTCTCCTCCTATTTACTCTGACTTCTCTCTAGTTATTCCCGCAATAAACCCTCGGATAAGATACCCCCCGGGTAGACCACCCATCAAAGGCGGTGACAGACCAAGAGATTTTGATCAACTAACTTTTATCTCAAACTCGCTGACTTATGAAAGATTGTCCTAAGAAGTTTCCCTTTTTAATTAGATAAGTTTTGCATGGTGTACACATTTTCATACATGCTACCAACACTTGTCTGTATGTTTACGCGGACAATTATTAAAATTTGTGCGTTTTCAGACAAATTGGCTATTTACACATGCGATAGTATACAAAACATGTACACATCAATTTTCCCTTTTTAGATGCTTGGTACAATGGATTACATTTTGATGGATGTTTATTACTCCATATGTGATTTAGACAATACATCTCTCAACCTCACTCAAGGCTAGTGAGAAATACATATGGATAAACTATAAAATAGGGAGTATTTAATTATGCATAAACATGGACCTAACTCTGTGGTTTAGTTCAGTACAATCCAAATGGATAAGGATTATCTATTAGATTATATATTGAAACCTACTGAATATTCATATTAGGAAGTCGAAACAGCTGTTCAATTTCCAACCAAATTGGACCAATTGACTTCTATCAAGAACATCCATTCCTCTCTATCAAACTACCAGAAATACAACATTGAAAGTTGAGTAACGTAACCTTCTCTTCATCGTCGGGATCGTTTAAATAATTCCGGGGCCTTTATCCAAATCGCTTTGTCTAATCCAATTACAGTTGAAAGTTTTTCGTGATTTCCTCTTTCAGTTCGGTAGAATTCAAAATCTGATCAAAGCATTAAAATGCAATCGATTACTTAAATCGGTTAAATTCCTGTAAAATCACCTGTTTGCCGCTCCAGTTTCTCAATAATACATCAGTTTCTTCTTCATCGATCCTTCGTTACAATTCGAAAACAGTGCTTCAAAAATATAGATCGAAAATGTCAGGTACAGGGAAGGGCGGGAGCAGCACTTGTTCAGAAGAAGAAGGGAGGATCGAAGAAGAAAAGAGAAGGAAGAGAATGATTTCAAACCGGGAAGCAGCGAGGAGGTCGAGGATGAAGAAGCAGAAGCTTGTGGCGGACGTGACGGCGGAAATTGGCAGATTAGAGGCGGCAAACGGTGAGATTGCGGTTCAGATAGATGAGATGAGCGAAAAGTATGCGGTTGTAGCTGGCCAGAACAGTGTTCTGAGAGCTCAGGAGTTGGAGTTGGGTGAAAGGCTGAAGTGTTTGAATGAAGTGATCAATCAGACGAGCGAGAATACGGATATGGAAGTGGGAATTCGTGATGATAATGGTGGTGATGTTGCCGGCCGTTTGCTGAAGCGGCCATGGCAGATACGGTTCCCGATTCTTCCCATTCATGCGGCTTCTTCCGGTTTGTTCAAGTTATGAAATTGTTGTTTCAGATCATCACTCGTCACCCTGTTATGAGCGAGCCTACATGGTTGATAAACTTGATATATAGCGTTATTATCAGAGCAGCCATTTGTGATTTTTGTGGATTATTATTTTCAAATAATAAATGCCTTTTATTATGGTGCAGTTTTTACTCTTTTTTTAGTTGCAACGTTTTCGTTTGAAGTTTACCAACACCCGATTTAAAAAAAAATTAAAATGACACTCCTAAAAAACTTTGTCAATTTCAAAACTTTAATCAATTATATCTTTTTATTGAAAATTATTTATAATATAAAAAATCATATGAAAATGTTTTTTGTTAAAAGTATTTCCATAGAAGTATAAATTTATAACTTCCAAAAGATTATACTAATCAAAATTATTGTTCATATTTTTTGAAATGGAAAAGTATTTTGGGATGGAGGTAGTAGAATTTTATAATATTTTCAAAATTTGAATTTTTAATACATTAATAAAAAAAATATAGTTGAAATATAGCATATAAATCATACTATTCCATCACATAACATTGAAACATGAGGAGACGATATGATTATTAAGGAGTCATTTTAGTTTGCACCTCATTTTATTGTCTACATTATATTTTGTGCTCTGTTTTTAAAAAAAAAAATTGTTTTTGCACCCCAACCTCATGTGAAAAGACAAAAATGTCCCTCCAATAACAATTTTGTTGACCTTCAACATATTCTTGATCGAGGAGTATTTTTGTCTTTTCGTATGGGGTTGGGTGCAAAAACAAAGTTTTTTAAAAAACGGGATGGAAATTCCAATTTGGACCACAAAATGGGGTGCAAACTCAAATTACCCCTATTAAGAAATGTGTATTTATGTGGTTGATATTGAATTGGAAAAGCAAGAATAAAATAAGATTGAATTACAACCACAAAAAATTTACCAAAAAATGATTTACAAGCAATCTCAATGAACGGACCAAAATGAAAAAATGAGACAATTTAATGAAGGGAGCACAATTTAAGAACATGTTGTATATTTTAGATTCTTGGAACAATGGATCACTTTAAAGGATAGCATTACTCCGCATATCACTTTACATATTCATAAACAATTTCATAAAATGATCAATCTCATCCAAAAGTGTAAATATGGAGATGTGTAACATCCACACAAAAGTAATTTTCAATTGGAAAAGAGAAAAGAAACATACTATGTATCAAGTTTTTAATAATTAAATAAAAAATTAAACAGGCAAAAATATTGCGTAATTGAACTTAAATAGATCGAACCGATAAAACCATCACATTTTGACAGTTGTAAATACCCCTGTTACACGCACGAGTAGTTCAACGGTTGTTGAGTGAGATTGTTGAATTGAGATTTGATTTAATTCCTGACTACCATAATGGGAGTTTCCTTCAATGTGATGGTTTGTGCTTTGTGCATCCGGTCCTGAAACCGCTCACTCATAAACCATTTCAGATCACACCCTGATTTATTGAATAACCATTTTGTCTGATCCAGGTGTCGACCTGACGATTCTACCTTTTGATTGTTAAACAAACGTCTGCCGCGCCCGACTAACCGACTTTACCAAAACACAATTAAACAGACCAGTCGGACCTCTTAAAAACGTCGTGAAAAACAGTTGTCACTTGTCAATGGAGTGTCCTCTCGTCTCTATTCTTTTCCAAGTTCGCCATCCAAGTCAAGAATAACTTGGACCCAACGAATCGCTACCCCTTTAATAATTGAAAACTAGAATCTCATTTCTAGTGGTAAATTGAAGCTAAGAATGATTGAGAAGAAGAGGGTTCAATTCCTCCTCGCCGTCGTCATCATCGCCCTTCTCAGCATCACCGGTAACTCTGCTTTTTCCTTCTAAAATAAAGTTTTCCCGAACGAAATGGATTCATTTAATAGGGTATCCGACTTTATGGAATAAATTAATGTTTGCTGAGTTAACTTCACTGGTTTAGAGAATGGCCGTTTTAGTTGTTTCTAGTGATGACCGATGAGTAGCAATACGACCTAGGAGGCTAGGAATAGAGCCGCGTTAACTTTTTCAGGCGAAGACGAGTTGAATAGGTCGTAACAACGTAGAAGTTCAACGGAATCGATTTCAGAATTCTTCTTATCAAGAGAGGAATGCAATTCGTTCATGCAATCATTCCCAATTTATCTACCTATCAAGCACAGAAACTGCTCAAAAACTTTGAACCCATTTCGGAAACTTGGAAAATCAGAAACTTTAGTTCCTGTTTCTGGACCATTTCTGTGATTAAGAACCTAAATAAGTAGAGCTTGGGAAACTTTGAGTTTCCAATCTTTTTCTTTTTTATAAATATATCCTCATATTTTTATATTTACGCGTTTTGACTATGTTTTAGATCCTATATTTTTTTAAAACTTGTTTCTCATGTTTCGCGTTACCCGTTCCATGTTTCCATGCTACTCTTAGCATCTGACCTAAGAAACTTCCTATTGCTTCAGTTATTTTTTCGTTTTAATTTCCAGCGGGGCAAGGCCTAGCAATAATTATCGTGTGTTCCATAAACTCGGTGTTTGAAGAACGGTTTCGTTTTCATTTTCCAATGATTTTAGACCATCATTAGTTTCCTTATCATAATATCATTGTACAATGGTGGAGAGAAGGATAGAATTTCAATGCCTGTCTTGTGGTTTTAAGTTTATCTTATTATAATGATCAGCACTAATAGGATGAAGGATAAGAATTTGCATATTTCACCTCAAATGAATTTAGAACATGCATTGCAGAAATTGGTTTGATTCATATGGAGGGTAGAAGCTTGTGGTTTGGCACTGGAGTCCTTTGTTTCCAAACAAATAACTTGAAGAAGATTGGTTTGGCTTATCCCGCCCAAAAATAATCTGATGTCAATAATTAAATGAATAACTCAGTGTGGTGGACACCATTCTTTGTTAAGATCTTAAGGGTTGTTTGGTTCAATGTAGGGAGTAGGGGAGGGGAGAGTGTTATTCTGTGTTATATTTGGTACCTCGACTTACACTTGTGTAGATTTCATAAATCTACCTAAAACTTAGGATACAAATGAGCTTTTCTTGAGTTGGATGCCAAATAGGCTTGAGTTGGATGCCAAATAGGTTAGAGTTGAATGTAAACATGCTATTTTCTTATACTTTAGCTTTTTCATTTTTTTTCTTTTATTTTTTACTTTTCAGTTTCCACTGCACTCAAGATGATCATGATGAAAAATAAAGGAGGTCCTTAAATGTGTGTGATTGTCATCAGGGGAGGAAAGTTTTTGGAAACACGGAAGTGGTGTGCTAGAGAAGAAACATAGGATATTTTTCTTCTCTAGATAAACTTGTCTGCTTATCATTAGTTTGTACGGAGAAAGTGCAAATATACATTGTTAGTTCTCCTTCTAAACTTTTGTTGAAACAAAGGAATATGTAGTGGGGAATAATATGTGAGGAGTAGAGACAGATTTTGAGTTTTTGAGTTTTGGTTATAGGAAATTAGGAAGGGTTGGGGTCCGTGGAAAAAGAAGGGTAAAATGGACTAAGGTTTGGCTAGGTTTTTTGTCCTCACTGTTCTAAACATAAGAACTAACTGTAAATGGGGAATAATGAACAAGGGTAGGGAAAAGTTATACCTTCCAACCATACACCCTATTTTGCACGTATTTGCTTGCCTTCTCATTGCCATTTGTAAATTCCTTGTGTTTGCTTGTTTCATAGCCGAAAAATGTAGGGAAGTGGTTGGCAAAGAGGCAGCATCCAAAAGTGGGGATTTTAACATTTTGAACTGCTTAGATGGGGGCACTGGAACCCTAGCTTGTGTTGTTAAGGAGGGTGTAAAGCTGTACTTTTACAATATAAGAAGTGCACACATCGAGAAAGCTAGGAATTTAGCAATCGAAAAGGCTCTGGCTGATGCCATATCCCAAGCAAAAACCATCACAGCTAAGCAAATCCAGTTAGAAGGTGCAAAAGCTGCCAAACTAGCAAAGCGACAAGCGAATCGAATTGTCGGCCCTATCATTTCATCAGGATGGGATTTTTTTGAAGCAATATACTTGGGGGGTACGATGACTGAAGCAGTTCTAAGGAGCATGGGCACATTGTCTGGCACCTATTATGTTGGTTTTCTTGGGGAGGCGAGCTTTGGAAGGATTGGGTATTTTGTCGGAAGTGAGCTGGGCAGTTGGGTGGGGGGGAGAGTTGGCCTTATGCTTTATGATTTGGTGAATGGGATGGAGTACGTTCTTGAGGTTCTCCATCTGAAAGAACCTCCTCCTGAACGATTGTACGCTGCTGACCCCGAGGAGGAAACTATAGCCAGTGGTGCAGTTTCTTCCATTGAAGTCATCAAACAAGTATACAAGACTGCAGCCGAAATTCTTGATAAATTCAACAACAATGAAACTCCTCCCACTGAAGTGACCTCCGAAGAGTCAACAGCTAGTGAAGAGTTATAAATGCACATTTGTCGTTGTAGTGCTGCTCTCTGTTGTCGTATATTATTATTTGGGAAATGATATATATGTAGAGAGATGGATAGAGTAGCATTCAGGGAATGATAATATATCTCAGGTTTACCCCTGAGGCCCAAAGTGAATACATGAGGGTAGCATAACTTGAAGGTAAATTTGAGATAGTCTTACAATTCCCTGAACTATTTCATAACCTTTCCTTGACGTGTATCATGGTCCTTATTATTTGGTACAGACACAATTTATGTTTCTTTTTTCTTTCCTTGTTGTTGCTTCATAAAAGGAAGCTTCAACTTTGTCCTAGGAAATGAGGGTTTCAGAAAATATAGTCTCACATGAGACCTCCCTTTATAAGAAGGTGGCATACTGGCATATATTACTCCATAGTATATACAAAATACCGCGGAATACTATTTATTCTCATTTTTCCTTAATCAAACTCAATAAGAAATTTGGGTTCCTTCACTGGTGTCTATGAACCATTGTGGTGCTATAACCATGTTATGATTTAGTTTCTTTTGTGCTGCATCCTTCCAAACTCAAAAAAGAAGTCGTATTTGTGATATTCTTTTTAGTGTTTGAAGATGACTGGTTTTTTGGGACGGAGTTGTACTTTTTGTTTTAGTCAGGAGGCTCAAATATAATTATTGAATCTTCACCATTAAGGAACATTTTATGTACTTTGTT